GTTTAAAAGTAATCTTTGTGATATTCCAAGAAAGAACCTCTACATATTAATCTGCCCATTTAATACCTAGAGGTTTACTAGTCCCATATGAAGAAAACAGCTAGAGTAAACTCAACACGACGAAATATTTTTCAAGGATATTACTATTTTGTCATTGAGAATTACAGTCATCTCCAAGTGCTTCCCATATTAGAAACCAGCTAGTGTAATTTATTACTTAGCTTTGATATAGTTCTTCCATTCCTGTTATTTATTTATTTATTTATTTATTTATTTATTTATTTATTTATTTATTTATTTATTTATTTATTTATTGTCATTGTAAGTATATACACAGTATACCCATACAATGAAATTCACATTTAAAAATTTAATTTTAAAAAGGACTATAAACTGCTGAGCCCTTCTAACTTCCCGTACCTAAACAGATCAAAGCCAATGACAGCTGTTCTACAAATATATATATATTCTGTACAGCTATTTCCTTTTAGAGAGGAGAGAGAAAGAGATCTCTCAGAATGGAAGGAAATGTGACTTTAAAACATATTTCATTTCAATAAGGAAGGCTATGACTTTATGGCTGTGATGCCATGCATATCCTTTATTTTACAGTATATTGATGTATGCTATTTGCTGCAATTCCTTTGAAAGTTCTGAAGTGTTCTAAAAAACTAGTATTTTTTTATTTCCCTGATACTTTCAAAAATAGTCAAACTCCTGTTCTTCAAATCCATCACAATTCAAAAACACTAATTCTTAGGCGTTTAGCCTTCTTTATGGTCCAGCTCTCACTTCCTTACATCACTACTGGAAAAACCATAGCTTTGACTATACAGACCTTTGTTGGCAAGGTGATGTCTCTGGTTTTTAAGATGCTGTCTAGGTTTGTCATTGCTTTGCTCCCAAGAAGCATCATCATAGGCATCCTTCAGTCTCGAGAGACTATGGTAACATGCTCTGAATCGAGGAGTGTCCTCTCCAGAGCATGAAGCCCGGGTAAGGTAATATGGAGAATAGGCTGTTACCCAAGCAGCAGATCCCCCCTCTCCACATTGCTGAAATGGTCCAATGGAAAGGCAAGAGCCAATACAACTGGTTCCAGCAATGTCGCAGGAGTTGGCAGAACGACACATCCTGCCTTCGGGACTCCAGCTCCGGATTTTGCCTCGAGGTCAGGCGCCTTTTAAATTTGTGACTGCTGTCACCATCTGCAGAGATTATGGAGCCCAAGAAAGTAAAATCTTTCACCACCTCCATATCTTCCCCTTCTATTTGCCAGGAGGTGATGGGACCAGTGGCCATGATCTTAGTTTTTTTGATGTTGAGCTTAAGATGAATTTTTGTGCTCTCCTCTTTCACCCTCATTAAGAGGTTCTTTAATTCCTCTTCACTTTCCGCCATCATCTGCATATCTGAGGTTGTTGATATTTCTTCTGGCTTGGGATTCCTCCAGTCCAGCCTTTCACATGATGTATTCTGTATGTAAGTTAAATAAGCAGAGGGGCAATATACAGCCTTGTCATACTCCTTTCCCAATTTTGAACCAATCAGTTTTGAACCATATCCAGTTCTAACTGTTGCTTCCTGTCAGACATACAGATTTCTCAGGAGATAGATAAGGTGGTCAGGCACTCCCATTTCTTTAAGGATATGCCATCATTTCCTGTGGTCCACACAGTCAAAGGCTTTTGTGTAGTCAATGAAGCAGAAGTAGATGTTTTTTCTGGAACTCTCTGGCTTTCTCCATAATCCAGCACATGTTAGCAATTTGGTCTCTAATTCCTCTGCACCTTTGAAATCCAGCTTGTACTTCTGGGAGTTCACGATCCACATACTGCTGGAGCCTACCTTATAGAATTTTGAGCATAACCTTGCTAGCGTGTGAAATGAGTGCAATTGTACAGTAGTTGGAGCATTCTTTGGCACTGCCCTTCTTCGGGATTGGGATGTAGACTAATCTTTTCCAATTCTCTGGCCACTGCTGAGTTTTCCAAACTTGCTGGCATATTGAGTGTAGCACCTT